GTCACTTGAGTCATGTTGTGAGAGTTTCCACTTTGAATCTAGCAGACTAGCTGGTTTTAAGAATCCTATAAATGCAGAGGTGGGAGGAGTGGTTCATTTAAGAGTAGGAAAAATTGCAGATTTGTCATCTTGCTGCAGAAGACAGCACAGATTCCCCTAGAAGATCACTGCAGCCATTCTGTAACACTGAGCGGGATAGAATATTTCTTGCTCAATGTTCTGCATGCATTGTCAGTGGTGCTGTTCCAGCAGCTTTCTGGATTTATTGGTCTCTCCTTGCTCTAAGCATTGCTTAAAAGGATGAATATGTTGCACTTGTGTTTTGTTACAGTGAGGTAGTAGTAGCTTGGATTTGGTCTATTTGTAATATCCTCTTAGGTAGTTCATATAGTTGGGGGTTTTAACCTCTAAATGTACACACATGCTGACTGGTGACGGGCTGTGTAATGCAAGTACTGTACATATTAAATGAAACTTTTTAGGCTAGCAAAGTGCTTTTGGATTCCCAAATCAAAAAGCAAATTTGGTCCAAATTTGATGTATTTCCAGGCTTCAGAACACTTGATTAAGTAAACCAGAGCATGTCAAAGTGCAACAGAAAGACCTGACTGCTGTGAATGCTGTTAGTGTTGTCCTTGTGATATGCACCACTAAGCCATAGCTCCATTCTAAGCAATCATATTTTTCCTCTGTTTTACTACAGAGGTGTTGCTTCTCTGAGTATTTACCAGACCTGCCAGTCCCTTCCAGCTCCCGACTGGATAGGAATGTATTTAGTTCAGCTAACAATAATTAGCTAAAAGATGCTAATCTGTACACTGAATCCTCTAAATGAAGAAATTATTACTGTAAATATGCTAATGCATGGATTATGGGATGCTGTCGCTGTGGCTAGATATCTGCTAACATTTGAAGACCAGATATGGAAGTTTGGGACATTGTAGCACTGCTGAATGGTTTTCATACACATGGAAATCTTCAGTGATACAGATAAGATGAATCTGTTGTAAGAAGAAAGCTGGGTGCAGGCTCAACAGCAGTGCTCCGTCCTTGAACGTCCATAGGTTGAATAGAAGTGAAGGATATTGTTGTGGCAGCAGGTAAGCGTTCAGCTTCACCAGTAGAGAAGAAACTTCAAGTATCAGAAAGCTGTGAAGTTTGTAACCACTAATGTCAGGAAGAAACAAGTGGTTGTGATGTTTTATGACTTTCTTCTGAGGTGGGTGGAGGGATCTATACAGTGATCAGACCTGACATCCCAAGGTGTCAGCATTTATATCTGAGCTGTTTCTGAAAATGTGTTGAGGTCAAACAAACAGGCTGTGCTGCATGCCCAGGGGAATGCTTGAAGTAAGCAAGTCAAAAGCAGCTCCTCAGGCTTTGGAGGCAACTGAAAGCCTCAAGGATGTAATTGGTGATCTCGGAATCCTCTACTGAGTTTTATACAACACATTTCTTCCAAGGACATTGTGCAGAAGGAATTCTTCTGTGGTAAAAATATGAGAGTGCCATAGGCCACCAAGAAAAGGTAAGGTGGTTGAGGCTTTTTGTGAGTGTCCAGCAGGGTCCTCTAGAAGTTGGTGATGAGAGAATTTTAATTGCCTAGGTAGTCAATGTGTTACACAGAGGGGACTGTTCAGGAGGTGTGAGGTGTCCTGGAGACCATCCTGCAGATAAAAGACTGTGAGCAGGGGACAGTCTTATGGGGTGAATCCTAAGCAGTAGGAAGGAAGTGGCTGAGCATACACTGCTGAAGGGCACCTGGGTTATATGAGTGGTTTTCCATGTTGGGTACAAAGTCAACAGATCTCAGGAAAGATTCAGGCAGGGAGAGCTTCATGATAGGCTTTTCTCAGGAAAAGATATTGCAGAGATAAAAAAAAGTTCTTGAAATATATACATAAATAAATTAATTCAAGGGTTTGGGTTTTGGGGGAGGGTTGGTTTTCTGTTTTTGTTAGGAAAGGGTTTATAGAAAGCACTACTTTAAATGATACTGTTTGGGGATTTTTAAAGAATTGCAGTTTTCTTGTAGACCTTTGGCATAAGTATATAGAAGGCCAAAGCATAAAATGAGATTCAATGGGCAAGGAACACTTAAAAAAATCTAGAGTAACAGATGTATTTAGGAAGAGTTGATCTGATAATCCACAGAAAAAGACAGTTATCCGTAGGTTATGCTGAAAAGGTCACCTACCCTTGGTGCTATTGCAGGTAACTTAAGTGACCAAGGACCAGAGCCCCAGCCACCAGCACAGAAAGGGGAAAGAGGGAGGATGCTTAAGAAGGACAGGTTAATCCCATCCTGTCATCTACCTGCTTTGTCTGCAGTGTGGTTTCATCAGTGACCTTGGTAATTATTATTCAAGTTGCATCTGAGAAAGACTATGATTAAGGTGGAGGACAGAACTAGAACCTGAAGGTAGAATAGAACATCCATCAGAGAAAGGATAAATAAAAGCATGACAGTAGAATGTTCAGCTGGGTGAATAGAGAGCAACTCACTATGTGACTGTCCCAAGATAAAAGATCTGGGACTTATCATGAATTAAAATCTAAATGTATCAACAGTGCTGTCTTCTGGAGGGGGTGGGAAGGGAAAGACACTTCCAGTATGGAGTTTAAGCAACAGTGTATCCTGGAAGATCAATAAATAAATGAATCCTTCAGATCTCGTTAATGTTCCTAGAGCCCCAGCTGAAATACAGGATTCAGCTTTTGGACTCCGTGCTTTGGTAGATTTGTGCCAACTGGACTGTGCCCAGAAGGGAGCAACAGGAAAGTCTGTGAAATAAGATTTACAGAGAAGGCTTGAATAAACTGGAATTGTTTTGCCTGAAGAGAAGACTAAATGAAAGTATGTATTCTCAACCGCACTAAGGAAAGGGAATAAACTATTCTCCTATGCCCGTGACAAATAGGATAAACAGTAATGGGCTTACATTACATCAGAAAAGGTTGAGGTTGTCCACTGGGGGAAATTTTCTTGTAGTAAATATTGTGGAGTGCAGGAGTTGACGGCTTCAGAGTTTTTGTAGGACTCAGCATTACAGTTTTGAAGGGCAGATTAGACAAAGCTGACAGTAGGTAGAACTTGTAAGTAGTTGATCCTGATTTAGTACAGAGTACAGATGATTTCCAGGTCTGTAAAAATCAATTACCATTGCTAGAAAGTATTCAAACTCATCTAAAACCAGTGAAAGAAAACCTTTTTAAAGCTTGGATCATTTTAAACCTTCCACAAATACAAAAATAACCCCAAATCCTTAAGGTAAGTAACTTAAATGTGTGCACATGTATATTCACAAGGTGGAAGAAGCTCACTTTAGAGATAGATGTGGATTTTGTCTGACAAAGCTATGCTCTACAAGTCCTTGAACCCTTACAGCTTGGTGGGCTGAAATGGCTCTACACCTGGAGCCAGAAGTACAGAATCTCTGTAATATCCACTGTTTCTTCACCACCTAATAATACTAAAGTCGCTTTCAGATGGTTGGTTTTACCTTTTTATTTAATTTTGTAAGGCAAGAGAAGAGGTGGAAAGGAGAAAATGTGTTTTCTGTGTCTTAATTCTCTTCTATGCTTTTTTGAGCCCTGCTTCCCTTGCCAGCAGCCCCAGTCATCCTCATAGAGCTTTGTACTGGGATCGTCATGGCAAAAGTTAACTCAGAAGGGTGCTCCCTCTGTGGTATTTTGGTCACGCAATAGTAGGTATTATGGTGGCGTTGCTCTTTGCTCCATTTCCAGGAAGCTTCATGGGATGACTAAGCAGCTTCCTCTGGAGTGGTTTTATGTTATGGAGAAGAAAGTAGTTATAGTTCTGTCTTCATTCCAGTCTCTTCTAGCCAGGTCACTCCCTAAATCTCTGGCTTGTTCCTCCAATGGTCACAAATAAGTGCTTTGGGAAAAGAAAGAAGAGAGCAGGCACTTAAGCTTCCCAAAGTACTCTCTCAGCCTCAAAGTCCTTTTGCTATGGAGATTTTCTAAGGCAGATGTGGTCTCTTCATTCTTTAACTCCCACAGGAAGCTTCTCCCATGTACTGGCCCAGTCCTCTTTAGGCCCGTATAAGTTTCTTGCATCCATAACATCCTCTTGTTGGAGTTCCCAAGGCCCATTGCCTTCTGGTGGGCTTGATCCCTTTTCTACTGTCTTTGTATCACACCTCTCGCATTCCATTTGTGGGGAGTGATGATGAACAGTCCATCCCTGTCCCTACTACTTGGACACTTGTGACTAGAAATTTGCCAAATCCAGCACAATCATCTCCTCCAGTCCCACACTGACTCCAGACTTTTGTCAAACCTTTTCAAGCTTTTGTATTGTCTTTCTGAGGCCAAAGCTGCATGTGAACCAGCCATGGATTCTGGTACAATACACTGAACAGCAGATATCTATGTGGAGCACCATGGTGGAGTCTCTCTCTGTGTCCCCCCTTTACTTAATGTAAAGCAGGTAGGGGAGTGGCATGTGGCCTTCCAAATCCTTTGCAGTGTGGTAGTTGTAATTTAAGGAACAGGCTGGTTACCTTGAGATCCTTCTGTTGGTGCTCTGACGTGGCAGCAGATGCTCCTCAGTCCAACTGACTGGCACTTTGTAATTAAGACAACTCAGCATGACAAGAAAATGTTACTGCCTTTGAGTTGAAGCATCTCTTATTACCTAGAAGACACTTTTCAGAAGGTGCTCCTGGACTGTGCTGCTCACTCACTTGCTGTCTTGGGATGTTCCTGTCTCAACCTTTAGAATAGGTCAAGAAATGCCAAGCCAGGCTGGTCTACTCTCCTATTATTTTTGCACCCCATGGCTCTCCAGTGTGTTGACAAGTGCTGGGGAATGTTTCTCTCAGCAGGATGGGAATTTGAACTCATGTGATTTCAGATACCGGTGTGAGTGTCTCTAATGGACATGCTGGCCCAATTTAAAAATTCTTATTAATTGAAGGTTTAGTGGTTCTTTATTGTTAGCATCTCAGTTAATGAGTTGTCATTTTATTTTTCAGCTATGGCAGCCATTCGAAAAAAGCTGGTTATAGTGGGAGATGGTGCCTGTGGGAAGACCTGTCTGCTGATTGTGTTTAGCAAAGACCAGTTCCCTGAAGTGTATGTTCCCACCGTCTTTGAAAATTACGTAGCAGATATCGAAGTGGATGGAAAGCAGGTATGTGCACACTGCTATGACAGCCAGAATGAGCTTGCCTTTACTCAGGATAGGATGCGTATCTCCACTTCTGTAATAAGTGGTTAATGCAAATGTTTTGTGCTTATGTTGTAGGTATATTTTTAAATATTAAGCATGTTCCTGTGGAAAACCATACTGGCCTTGCTAGAACCTGCTCATATCCAGTGTCTGCTTAACAACCTATTTCTAACCTTATACAAGTTGAGAATCTAAAAAACATACAGTTTTAAATGTTGCAGTAGGTGGGAGGGGATGGAGCATTCAAAGACATGTCTACGTGCTGAGGACAGAGCTGCCAGCCTTTGGAGCTGCATGGTGGAGTCCCTGTTTTGGTAGGGACCTGGTATTGTGATTAACAAGACTAGCTCCTGGAGAGAGTCTATTTTCATACCCACTCCTGGCAACATGCCGGATCCTCTTCAGAACAGATGACTGACAGGCTTCAAAGGGATTTGATTTTTGTAGTGTACATCAGCATCATCTATCCTACTCATCTGAAGGAATGCAATTTTTAGCAGCCAAGCATGCCCACGGCTCACTGAGCTTTGTTTTCAGTTGGTACTTCTGTAAATTAACCATTAAAATACTTCATTTTAGTTTTAAATATTTTGAAAATCAGTTTTCAATATGTGTGGCCTTTTGAGTCCTTTTGTTTCCCAAACAAGTAAACATGCCAGGCACCTGCTCTGAGAGGTATCTTTCAGAAGGCTGCTCTCTGAACACAGGGTTGATTGCCTTCTGCATTTATGTCACACAAGGGAGTTCGTGGTGTGTAAAAACGTCACTTGCCAGGATACTCCAGCAGCATGCAAAGCACAAACTTTGCATCTCGAAAGCTCAACTATTTTCAAATCTTTTTAAGCAGCCATGGCATGTGTCTGGCTTGTCACTGCAGCCACAGTGAGCTGACCTCAGTGCTATGGGTTCTCATGTTGAGTACGTGGCAGGTTCTGATTCTTACAGTGCCGAGCTCCCCTGTTTCGCCCCTTCCTGGGACATGCACCTTTGCTCTGAGCTTAGGTGCAGTCAGAACATCATCACTCATTCTAGTTCAGAAGCAGTGACACTGAAACTGCTCAGTTTTGATCCCCATGTGAGCAAAACTTCTTTGAACTAGTTTTGGGCTTATGTTAAAATTGATTTCCTGATGTTACAGGCATGGATTAGTTGTGGGTTTAGTCATGATAGTTCATGCCAGTTGAGTCTAAAAAGTGCTTTTATCTCCTGTGATATGAATGGGTGAAATAAAATTTACTTTGAGACTAGTATTAGAACGTGTTTTCCCCCCTAGTGACAGCTTCTGCAGTTTCTGTATTGTATCTCAGGCTCTACGATCTAGTGTTTAAAATATGTACAATATCCATTTCTCTCTCTTATCACCTACTCAAACTTCCTTATTCCCTTCTGCCTGAATCTCTGCATCTCTGCATGGGTGATCAGGGAATCATGGCCTATCAGCTGTACGCAGCTGGTATCTAAACACAACTTGCATGAGCAGCTTGAGCAGAGCGTTTTCTGTGGTGGAAATGTCAGCTGATTTTTCTGTAATTAGAAGATATATTTTATTCAAGCACTTTGTCTTCTGAAAACTTGATTACAGAAGTTTGTAGGAGAGCAGTGCTTAAGACTCTACTGTTTAGCAGCCACTTAAACTCTCTTTTCTTAGAAAAGCATCACCAGAAACATTGAGAAGCCATGTGAAGACAAAATGGTGATGGTACAAGATGTGGGGGTTTAGGTAGAGCAAAGGAGCTGATTCCAATGTCACATGAGGGAACCCTCAACAGACATCTCTGTAAAAAATATGAACGTTTGCTTCAAAATTCAGGTTTGCAAATCCAGAGGTGACTCTGAGAGGAGTATTTCTGACTGAAATACAGAATAATTGTTTTGTATATGCATGTAACTAAGGCTTTGTTTTTCAAATTTAACCACAGTTATATTATACATCCAAGCTCACATTCGGGTTCCAGTTCTGTCTTTATCAGAGCTGCTGTGAACTTTTTTGCTGGAATTTTTGTATGTGAGAGTTTAAACAAGAAGCAGCCCACTCTGTGGCAAAGGCAGACACATCAGAGAACCTCAAGCAACAGTATACCTGAAGAGCCTGATGATAGTTTTTATAATTTCTTAAACAGTGGTTATTCCTTCTACAGTTTTAAACAATCCTACAGGGGTGTTTTGCCCTAGCTCCACCGTAAGCAGAAATACTGAGAACATCAGCTATTTTATTCAGCACATGAAGCTTTACACACAAATCAGGTTTATTTCAAAGCAGATAGCAAGAGTAAATTTCTGCTGTGGTGGAGTTCTAATGGTTTTGTGCACAAATAAGTACAATCTTGACATTTCTTAGTACAGGTTCCAGCTGTAAACCAATTGAAAATGTGCACAATCCTAAAAAGTGTATACTTAAGAGAGTCCAGTTTCACTGAAAACTGGTATTTCTGGAATGCTTTATCAGAGAGATTTCCAGCCGTTCAGAGCAGATTCCCTTAGATTCTTCTGTCTTGTTTTTTTTGCTAGTGGCTTTTGTGTCCTTTCAGAGAATGGCCACTGGTCATGGATATAATGAAAAGTCTCATAAGCTGCAATAAATTGATTTCTGGACTTATGGAATGTAAAATTTCTAATAGTTCCTCTGTCAAAGCAGTTTGTCTTGCAGTTTCCTCCTTTCAAGTGGCATTGACTGAAATATTTTATCCATTTCTCTTTGCTTTCTGGCTTCTGAATCAAAACTTCCCTGATCTGACTAACTGCCTTATCTTCCTTCTGCAGGTTGAGTTGGCTTTGTGGGATACAGCAGGACAAGAAGACTATGATCGACTTAGACCGCTTTCTTATCCAGATACTGATGTTATACTTATGTGTTTTTCAATTGATAGTCCTGATAGTTTAGGTAAGTAGAGCATGAACTGAATCAGAGCCACTTCTCTGCGTTGCTGTATTCCCCTTGGAAATTGTCCTGTAAAATGTATTTTCATGTCTGTAATGCTTGAGAGCTCTTCTAGTTTCAGAATGTTATACTAGTTTGAACATACAGTTTTCAGACATTAAGATCTTAAAGGAACCTGTATTCTTCAAAAATGCTGAGTGGCATTTTGACAGCCTCAGCAGCACACTGTTTACCCAGGGCTGTGCTGTGTCATTTGAGCAACACGTAGCAGGAAGGCAGCTCCCTGGCCTAGATCAGCAGCCCCAACTCAGCAATGTGGTTTGGTGGGCCAAGGCAGGGTGCTGGTGTGCTCATCCTATGGCAGGTGCTGCCTGGGTGACCCCAAGGAAACAGGAAGGCTGTAGTTGCACTCTCCTGTCTGAGAACCCTGCAAGTACATCGGATTCATCGGATGTCCACTGAGTGGCATGGCCCTCACAAGTTTTAGTTTATTTTATGTTTTTTCTGTTTGGGGTTTTTTTTTAAGTTCTCCTTGGAATTGCAGATTCTTATACACTCAAGACCACACTATATCCATGGAAATAGAGCAACTTTCTATGTATATGGGAAGCTAGCTTTGTGTTTTCATCCCTTTCCACTCTCCCCACCATTTATTCCAGAGAGATTGAAACACTCTGAGTTACTGGTCCCAAATAACCTGGGGGTTTTTGCTCTCTCCTTGGTGAGTTAAAAACATGGGCTTATAAGTACACTGGAGGGGCTTCTCTCACTTGTGGAAATTAGCAGTGGCTGGAGATCTGTACTCTCCTAGTCAGCTTTACAGTGACTGACCTGCGCTTGTCATGGAGAAAAGAGAAGAGTTGCCTGATTTAAGATTTCTGAGCTCAAAACACGTGTTTCAAAAACCCGTGTATTAGATGATCTTTTCTGAAGACCGGAATCTTCACTGATTGATTTATAAATCTGATGTGTAGATATCAATGTATTTGATCTTATAAAGACTTTCTGAAGAGGGTAAGGAGCAGGAGATAGAGATACTCTCTAAGACTCAATGTCTCTGGAACTTTGATTTCTGTCCCTTTAAAATGGTGATTACTACATCCATCCAGGATACCCTCCTAAACAAATACACCATGTAGCACTTTCTTAAAAAAATTCTGTAAAAATTCCCTTATCTACTTCTTGACAGTGAGAGGTTTCTTACGAGAACGCAGCTACTGTTAAGGTAGACCTTTAGGCACATGGATTCTGTGTGTGTATATGACCAGCTGTACTTTGACAAGAAGATTCTGTACAGTGATTGACTTGTACTGATCTATCTTATGGATGAACCCTTTGTCCCATAGTTGTCTTAGGAAGAAATGAGACAAAAAGGATCCAGGAAGCACAGAAATGTCGTTTGTGGAAGGATTAGTCTTGCATGCAGCTACCACAGTGGCTGAAAAATACCATTCCTGCAGCAATTCACAGAGAGTTTGACTAAATGTGCAAACACAGTATTCCTTAAGATGTTACAGTGGTATTACAGCCTGATTGGGGTAGGGTTTGATAGCTGCTCTTTCTCGTTCCTTGCCTCTGAAGTGCAGCAGCAGTTGAACAGGCAGTTGGGTGTGAAATAGTCTGTATAGAAAAACCATTGCTGGCTTGGTATCTGGAAATCCTTCTCTCTCTCTTCACCACCTGATCATGTGTTTAGAAACATCTTTCACAGTCTTTGTCTGCCTCCAGAACAACTGGAGGTTCAGTTGGCAGCAGTGCTATGGTCCTGCCTGGGGTGGCTGTGAGCAGCCACGCACAAGGTGTGAGCTGTGCTCATTTCCACTGCATGTGCTGCTCCCCTGGCTACTGGAGAGCATACTGACTGACTGCCCTGGGAACAAGACGGGTCACTGGAGGCAGGGAGAGGGGGTTGATTAAGCCAAGTCTGATCTTGGGTGTTTTTTTCATCTCTTTCCTGACTTCCTGCTTGTGTCCCTGGGGGCAGTGGAGGGAGCAGTGACATGCCAGATGTGCTGCATCTAGAGGCAGGCACCCCCTGAGCATTCCAGGTGCAGCTGCAGAACCGTTCTTGTGGCTGTAGACAAAAACTGGCTTCAAAATGCTTGTCTTGGGAGTTCTTTTAAGCAAGAAAACAATGCCATAATAGTTAATGTCTCTTCAAAAGCTGAATGGAATTCCATGAAGATAAAAAGGGGTTATGTATCCTGCAGGTACATCCACCAGGGAATCTCAAATGTCTGAGAGCTTCTGAAAGCAAAGCTGAATGTTTTGGACTGTGCAGCACTTCTGCTACAGAGAAATTATGAAGGTTTTGCTTTCAGAAGCCCTCCAGTCTTCCATTTGCAGCTCCATTTTAAAACACGTCATGCAGGGAAGTTCTGTCAGGAGGAAGAAGTTTCTTGTATGTAAGCAAATTACATTTGCTGCAGATAGAGAGAAGTGGCAAATCTGCAAGTGACTTTACACAGTCTTTGTTTCTGTGCATCTGATCAGTGTAGAGAACATTTCTGCTACAGTTAATGGGAGAGTTTGGAGTGATTGTTTGATGTTGATTTATAAAAGGAAGAAGCAATGTAAAAACCGACTCTTCAGGGTTGTGACCATCTTTAGCTCCTGGAGATAAATGTTTCTCTTGAAGCAAAATATTCCATAACTTTCTACTTCAGGATTCTGCATGCTATTCTTTAAAGTACCTTATGCTAACCCTTGTCAAGTAGCTACTGAGAGATGTAGAGAAGCCAAGAGGTTAGGTGTCCTTCAGCCTTCACGTTACCATAGATAGACAGGCTTGTCTTTTTTGGTGATACCAGAACAGTTCTATTTGCTTCCCAAATTAAGAGTAAAGGGCATCAGTGTGGATTATCAAGCTAAAACCACTCAGTCATAAATACAATAAAACTCTTCCCCAGAAGTAGGGGTTAGTGCATCATACTTCTGTTTGGTTGGGAAAGGTTTTTTTTGTTGTTTTTTGGGGTTTTTTTTCACCTTTATTTTTTATTTTTTTTTTTTTAAGAAAACATCCCGGAGAAGTGGACCCCAGAGGTGAAGCATTTCTGCCCCAACGTGCCTATCATCTTGGTAGGAAACAAGAAGGACCTGAGGAATGACGAGCACACAAGACGAGAGCTGGCCAAAATGAAGCAGGCAAGTTCTTTTCCTTGCAATAAATGAAGGAAGTGTGTAGTGGTTGTGCCAGAGCATTAAATAGGCCTCCGTGGCTGGCTGCCAGCTTCCAGTGGGCTGCATAATGAACACTTTTACCATGACAGAAAACAGAAAGTAGATATTGCCTTTAATTGAGTGTTTCTTTTTTCATATTTGGAGATAAAACTTTTAGAAAAAAGGCATTCTAACCAATGCAAATGGCTATATTGGGTTACTGACAGTCAGCTGCTGTCCATGCTGCAGACCTGCATCACTGAGGTAGAAAGGAATTAATTAGGAGACATCAACACACCAAGTGTGTAAAGAACTCTCCTATGTAAAGAACTACTCGAGATGTTCATTATTTCGTATGTTCAGGATGTGAAAGGGAATGATTTTATTGGTAGGTGTTCTGTGGTGATAACCACAGCTGCTGTAGCTCATTCCTGAACCCATCACTAGGTTTCATTTTCATATTGAGTCTGAAGCCCTCAGACCAGGTTTGGGATTGCATATATTCTGCCCTGTCCTGGAATATTTGCTCCTGTTGCATGCTTGCTTTTATACAAAGACTGAGGCATTAATTTGGGAATTTGTTCATAGGCTTTTGTGACAGTTGTGACAGAATTGCGTGTTTCCTCAGAAATAAGCAATTGTTTGCTCCAGTTTCAAAGAGCCTTGCAGCCTTCAAGCTCAGAGGTGTTAGAACACTGGTGGTGTCCTCAGGCACTGGGTGCAGTACACAAACACACACCCATCTGTGTAATCCAGGCTGAGGTGCACATTGCATCTTGAGAAAATAAGCAGATTTTATTATAAATCTGCTTTTATTATTTGAAGGATCCCTGTCAGGGGAGTGATTAATTACTAACTAACCAATTAATTATATACATTTAATCCAGAAATGCCATTGTAGGGAATCTGGGTGGGAAAGGGAAGACCGGTGCGTGCTGACGTGGTTTTGGCTTGTTCTCACCCACTGCTTTTGTGCTGTTACAGGAGCCTGTCAAACCAGAAGAAGGAAGAGATATGGCAAACCGCATTGGTGCTTTTGGGTATATGGAGTGTTCGGCAAAGACCAAAGACGGTGTGAGGGAGGTTTTTGAAATGGCCACTAGAGCTGCTTTGCAAGCCCGGCGTGGCAAGAAAAAGTCCGGGTGCCTTCTCTTATAAAGTGTGGCCAGAGGAAGATGGCCAAAGCAGCACCCTGCACTTGAGTAATTTTGAAGTGCTGTTTATTAATCTTAGTGTATGATTACTGGCCTTTTTCATTATCTATAATTTACTTAAGAGATTTAAAAATCGAGTCATCTTGCTACCAGTATTTAGAAGCCAACCATGATTTTTATAACAATCTGCATCAAATTCATCTGTGCACCCAAGGTTAACCTCAACATTCCTCTAACAAACCTTTTCTGCACTCACAGGATATGCCAGGCGCTAATTGAAGACAATTCTCTCTCTCCTTTCTTCTCTCTAGAAAGAGAAAAAGCTGTCAACACAGAGGATTGGTCTGTAACTACTTTATAACTAATGTCCTATGCTAATTGAGTACAACAGTTACATGGCTGTTTGTGGAATCAAGTGTAGCTTCAGTGCTATCACATTTAGGAAGATCTGGTTTTCATGGCTCAGTGGTGTAAAACATTAGTTTGAAAATGTGATCACTCTGAAATGACCAAGTCCCATTCAGCTAAGGAAAAGTGAGGGTTCTGTGGTTTCATGTTAGTTACTTTTTAGATACTGTGTAATTAGTGCCAGTTTAAATGTATGTTACCAAAAATAAATCTATTTACCCCAGCTTAGATGTAGTATTTTTTGTATAATTGGATTTCCTAATACTGTTACTTGTAACCTCTGCGTTAAGGTGATATGGGTTTTTTAAGAAACTGTATTTGAAAATAAAGTCCGATGGAAAGCAGCTGATCCTCTTCCCCTGTTCATTTATAAGAGTCTGACCCATGTGAATGGTTTGAGTGGTCTGCACACCCAGGAGGAGTTTTTTCCATGACGTGCCGTAGGGATGAGAAAAGACAGCCTGCTCACACTCAAAGCTTCTGAACTGTTCAGTTGCCTTAAGTTCATTGCTGGACCCAGTTTCAAAACTAAAAAAAGAAACAAGTGAAACTTTTTGTGTAAGTTTGGTTACCATGTAGTGATCGGACTCCTAACCTGTGAACTTCTTGCTGTTCTGCAGCCAACTAAACTCTTTCTGTATTTTCATTTTTCCAACAACTAATAGAATAAAGGCAGTTTTCTAAGCTCCCTGTATCCTGGTGTCTGTATTCCTCACTCTGGGTTTCTGGCCCAGCATCTGACATCCTGAAGCAGAAATACCATTTTTGATACAGCTGTGATAGGATTCCCTTAGCCATTACAAGTGCTTTAATATTTATTTCCCAGCAAGTGATGCCCACCTGTTGCTCACAGCTGCTCCCAAATGCAGGAGCAGAGCAGAGGTGGAATCCCTTGCCCTGCCTGGCATCTGCAGTGAGTGGCAAAGCTTCCCAGGAGCTGCTTTTGATACTCAAACCAAACCAGAGCACAGTGGTTGAGTTGCATTTGTCTGTATGGAACATGGGAGTAGTCAAGCAGGAGGAGGGTGTGTAGGGGGGGAGCTGCAGAAGCAGGCAGTGGTAGGCAGCATGCTGGTCTGTGCTGTCATATACCCCATGTGCTGCACCGGAGCATGTGTGAGGTGCTGTGCTTGGCAGCACATTTGCCACGCTGCTTTCATGAGGGACACCTTCAAGTGCTGCAGCAAAGGATGGGCTTGAGGTACTGGCCTGTGTGCTGGAGAGCAGATCATGCTGCTCCTGGGCGAGAAGGGTAGGGAGCAGCAGCATGCTCCTCCATGCTTGCACTGGTATTTACAGCAGCTGCTGCTGACCTGAGAGCCTCGGCCCACGGGGCCGAGCTGGAAGGAGTCCAGTTGCTCATGACAATCCATGTAAGTGAGGACCTTGCCGCGTCCAATTAATGGCCTCAAAATGCCAGTGTCACTCTTTAGGGTTTTTTTGGGGTTTTTTTTTGGTGGGGATTTCTTCGACGGTGTTCCCAATTCCTATTCCTGCAACAAGGAAGAAGCAGCTCCAGCCATGGGAATGCCCTGTACCTCTGGTCCTTGTCCTCCCTTTGCAGCCACAGACACCAGTGATGCATCTGGCCAGCCTGGCGGTGGCACCCACCCACTCCTTCCTCTCCTGAGTGCATTTTCCACCGGTGCCGGGTGGTGGGGTTGAGCAGAGCAGGAAGTTCCCAGCTGGGGGCTGCCCAGGAGGATTTCACCCTGTGCCCTGTTAGTCGCTGCTCTGCAGTTCCCTTTTCTTGTGGGATGCTGCAATTGAGCAAAACTGGGGTTTTTCAGTCTTGCAGAGCTGCAGGGTTGCAGTTCTCCCTAGTCACAGAGCAGCTCTTCCAGCTGCTCTTCCAGGGTTCTGAGTAAGGTCTGTGTGTTCCTCAGACCCAGCTCATGGGATGTGTCTGCTGATACGCTTCCAAGTGATCAATTTGTTGCCTCAGTTTTAACCTAAACTCTTGTTACCCTAGAGCATCACCTCCCCATCTTCATGTTGTCTACTTGATGGTGTTGGGTGTCCAGCCCTGGCCAGCCTTTCTCTGAGTTCAGACGTGTTAATTCAGTCTCTCTCACTTATGACCAGAAGCTCTGGCCCTCTTTGTCCCTCCCACCACTGGCACCAGAGTGGGAGCCTGCTTAGGAGCAGGTTATGAAGTTACCAGTCCTCTGCCTTCAAGGGCTGGTGGCCTGGCTCCTTTTGGTTTCCTGTCACGTCTGTCACCTCTGGGAGCCACTTGCATTCTGATGGAACTGAGCTGAACTCAGATGACCAGACCTGAGAAATAGGAGTTCAGTGCTCCTGGAGAGTTGGCCCAGCCAGGCAAGAAGCTGTGAGAAGGGCAAGGGAAAAGCTGGGAGCCAAAAGCCAGTCCTTGGCCAGGGGTGGGGAGAAGATGCAAGAGGAGGCCAGAAGGTATGTTTTTGTGGCCTTAGCAATTACTGCTGTTGCTGTTAAACAGTGATCTTCTGGCCTCCTAGACAGATTCCACTTGTCACACACCTCAAAAGGGGTCCCTTGAGGCCACCTAGTCCCTTGGGAGCTCCTGGCACTCCTGGATCCAAGTCCAGCTGGCTCAGCAGAACATGTCCAGGCGCAGGGTGTAGCTCCAAGCCAACAAGGAAGTTCAGCTCACTTGCTTTCCTTAGACCTGGCTCACAAAGGAAGGGAAAGCCCTAACTTGTGCTTGTCTGAAACAGGCAGAGCCGCAGAATTAAATCCCTTCTCCAGAGGGAAGCCTCAGGCCCAGCCCGAGGACTGACAGTGCTGGTCCGTGCAAGTGCCAGAAGTGGCAGCATGGTGATGCCTCTGGGGCACTGCCCTAGAGGTCACCCCAAAGACAAATTCCTCTTCTTCTAGCCACTGTGGCTCACTGTGCCCAGGGGGCAGGTGAGGAGGCTGGTTGTACTGTAAGCATCAGGCTACTGGGCAGCAAACACGGGTCACGCGCCTCTGCTCCTCTTGACAGCCGTTTCCCAGCTGCTCCGATCTCTCAGGACACTTGTCACGGCTCCTGCTATCAGTGCTGCAACACACTACAGAAACTGCAGATCCACAAAGGTGCAAGATAATTGGTCCCCAAAACTCACTGCAGACAGGAACTATTCAGTTCCAGTTGCAGGGGCAGGTTTTGCCCAAAACAAAACCCGCGGGATCCTGCAGTGTCCTGGGAATCCAGACCAGAGACACAGCATTATGTAGTGGCCTGTTAGTGGCAGTTGGCATTATTTCAATGAGTTCCCACTACCAAGCATGGAAAAGAACAGCCAGCAGCAGAGGGGCCGGGAGCACACCCCCTGGGGCCCAGGCGGCCTTGGCTGGAGGCCAGGGCTGATAAGCACTCACTGACCTTGGGACTGTTGTGCATGGAGCTCACTCGGCACAAACACTAGCAGGACACTCCTTGTCCCTGTGGGAGCTGTGCTGAAGCCCCTGGTCCACGCTGCCCCACAGACCCTGCTGGTGCCACCATGGATGTCAGTCTGAGGCCTGCCTCTTCCCGGTCGGCTGTGGAGCAGGATGGTGTGTTGGCACAAAGCCCCATGGAGGAGTAGCTGGGCCATGTGTCCTGTGTGGGTACTCCAACAGTCTGCACCATTCACTTGGGGCTGCCGGGAACCACCCACCCGAGGAAAAAAGCATTTTCTACTGTGGGATTTAAAATTCCCTAAACCAGCCTAAATCAGTACAGCAAGAAATAGAAAAGCCAGGGATGGGGG